CAAAACTGCACTCAGTTTAATGAGCTACAATACTCTGCACAATTGGAAACCAAACTATCAATTATGTGAAATCTTGTTACCACATTCAACAGAACAGTTTTCCTGCAGACCATCTCTGTCGTCTCAGAGAAGTTAGGAACAGAAGAACCAGAGCTCCCAATCATTTCTGTATAGCAATGGTCCACTGGATCCTAATGTTTCTGCGAACATGGAACAGAACTTCCCAAGGTTTGGCTAACAAATTTGCAACAACAGTGGACAACAGATCTTGAAACACTAAAAACACAATCCAGTATGTGTATATAATAACTTCATAGTTTCTTTTTGCCCAAAGTAAATATATTGTGCTCTGTGTGTGTGTGTGTGCGTGTGCGTGTGTGTGCGTGCACTCATATGCATTTTAATAGAAAGCTGTAAAGAAGAACTCTCTTTAGATGGACAAGATTTTTTTCTCTTCAAATTTAGAGAAGCCAGCATGAGAGTTTGGGGAATCTGTAGAAGTTCTAGAGCTGTAGAATCACATAAAGCCAGTGGCACATAGAATATATCCAACTGTTTTGGGTCTTGTTAGTATTTGAATGGGAGATCTTTAGGGAGCATCAGGATGCTAGTCTAGATTGGATAGTGAAAACTACATGAATGTACCCATGAGGCCACCAAGAAATGAACTCAACCCAAAGGAGTTTTTTTTCTCTTCCATATATGCCATCAAATTATGTAAGCCAATGCAATATATTTTTTTAAAAAAATATTTAATCTAATGAAACAAGGCAATCATTCATCTAATTTGATTAGAAGGACAGTTAAACTGTCTCTTACCGCATTACTCCGGAGGGGGGAAAAAAGGAAATCCTGAATATTCCCAAACCACATGCTTGGCTTTACATGTTTAGATAACTAAAATAATATTAATAACTTTTGGCTCAAAGAGCTAACAAAACTGTTAGCCCCCAGTCATTTCCCAAGGAATATGGAATATGGATCTTTTGATTATTCAGCTGAAGAAATACAAATATAAGCAAGGGCTGTTCTATGATTCAGCATATTCTTAAAAACAATCAAAAAAGCAACCAGATTCAGGAATCCTAAAAGCAGCATCTGACAGGCAAATACAGCAATGTTACCAGCAGTTGAACAGAAAGGACTGTAATCATAAATGCATTAAGTGAGAAAGGAGGTAGCCTTTCTAATACTTCTAGAACTATTTTAGCTCTGTTTGCAATGTTAAACAGAAAAACAAATGGTTTCTTTTCTTCCTTCCAGGTGCATTTAAAGGCAGGCATAAATGAAAGCACAGTATATAAATATGTAGCTCTTTAAAAATAATTCTTCACCGGAAAGTACCTTTTCGTTGTTTTATACAGGGCATCGTTTTCAGCACTATGCTGAAATGGACAGCGCCCGCCTCTCCTAACTCTGTTCCTGCCTTTCTCTTTTACTCATAAGCCAGAGCCAAAATGACACACCCCACATACAGGAGACCAACCTCAGCAGGTCTGAATGATTTCCAGATTTGCAGAAATATACATCTTGAGGGTGGGAAAACACTTACAGGAAGAAAGTCCCAAAACCATCTCAGAGAAGGCGGAATGGTCAAACAATACTACTGAAGTGGAAATGGAGAAAAGAAATTGGGAAGGAGTTGAAATGGAACATCTTGGAGGAGAACACAGCAAATTGTTTTTAAATCAACAGGACAGTCCACACTGCAATATTTTATTATACACCTTATTGGCATGTAAAGAATTGTCCAGTTGACTTTCCAGTTGAGAAACTATAAAGAGCAGTGCATTACCCAAAGGCAAAACTCAGTGATACTTACTTAAAATGCCATCTTATTCTACAAATATCTTCATAGTGTAATAAAAAAAAACTATTTTTAGCATCAAGTAACATTTTATATTTTTTTTAAATGCAAATAGCCTGTGTAAATATTAATGACAATGGCAAGATTATTCTTGTGGATTATGAGTAAAAACAACCTCTACCACCATCCAATTCAATATACATATATATATATACTTCTTTTTTAGATCCAATGGATACACACTTATACACCTTCTATTTATAGTTAGTCTTAATAAAATCACTATCCTCATCCAGGCTAGGGACCCTTGCTTTACATTTTATGACCACTACAAGCATATTTCTTAGACTGTTTGCACATTAACATAAACATTGCTTAGCAACCAATTGATACCATATTTTTAAACTCCAGGCATCAAATGATTCCATGATTCTATGAAATACAAGATGGGTTAATGAAAACATCCTCCAGTGTTCTATTGATAACTTATACCTCTGTGAATACAGATTCTTCCAAGTGAGACCAATGACAGAATCTAATATTTAGAAGAAGAAAACTTATGCCTTCTAGATATATCTGTATATATTATTGACTGAAATGTTGGCAGTGCAGATTGCTCTTTGGTTAGAATTAAAACCACTTGCAAGAATCTATTGAGTTTGATGTAGAATGGTAGAATTTGTTTTTTTATTTTTTATAAAGTAAGGGACCAGTAATGGTGGAAGATGATTTTTTTTCAACTAATACTTTTATGACAAAATTGTTTACCATGCACTCAGCAATTTTGGAATCATGTAATATCTCCTTTTCAATGACACATCTTATGCCTATCCTATACAATATCTTTCATCCTCTGACTTTTTTAGTCATCAGTATATGTCTTCAATAATCCAAAACATTTTTCAATTCCTGGGCTATTAAAGTAAACCAGTGACAATAAGTAATCCAATATGACAAGACCAATGCTGTCCAGAACATGAACCGATCAAATGAATATGCACAGTTGTTCCTATTTCACATCTTACTTGATACAAAATGTGAGCGAGGGCTTGGAGATGCAGAAGCACACATCACATTTCAATAGAAACCACTATAAAACCATTGGCCCTGGTCCAAACAATGTTTTAAGGAGTTGAGAAACATCATTCCAGCAGATAGATATGCTGAGATATCAGTATCCATACATTTAATTAAGGGAATTTTGCTGGGTTTCAGTGGGTTTTGCTAAACAATTGTTATGGAATGCTGGGTTTCTGTGGCTTCTTTCTCAAGAAAGATGTGCATCTAACATTTTCAAAAAGCGAACTGGAGCTCAGAATGGAAAGACAGCTTTCCCTTTCTTTAGTCATCCTTCAGAACTGGGGAAAAAACAGGTGACAGGAGAGGGTAATTAGGATTGAAAACTGCAGTATTAAAGGACAAATGGAGGGAAAATGAGGACCCGGATTGTGGGGGCAATAAGCTGACTTTGTATAAAAAAGAACACTGCTTAGGGGGGGCTGAAAGCCCTACTAAGCAGGTATATACAAAAGTATGAAGGCTATTGCTTAATGCATTGTAAGCCATCCTGAGTCTCCGGAAAAGGGCGGCATATAAATCGAACTAATAAATAATAATAAAACAGAAAGGCATAGCTTGGGATGCAAGTATTAAGGGGAAATCTTTCCCTTGAAGGAACTAGACTAATCCAGGGCTAAATTGTGGGCCAGATAATCAGGCCCGGACTAAAGTATATCAGAAACAGGGTATATCCAGAGTATATCCAGAGACAGGGTCAAATTTCAGACAAAAATCTTGGATGGGTTTTTGGTATGGAAGAAAAAGTCAATGCACATTAAAGAGAAAGAACAATATAAAGACATAGAAATTGGTAATGCAATCAGTGAGCTAAATTAATGTGGGCCAGAGGAATATGGTGAGAAATGAGTTAGAGGTGGAGGAGAGCATGACCACTGGCCCAAAGTGGAGGCAAGTCTCATTGGCTTTGCTCCTGTATCTTTAATATGAACTTAAAAGGACAGAGGCAAAACTTCATGTTTCATACCTTCTTGTGACAAAAAGCACTAGTGGTATGATTTCAGTAGATGGTAATCATGAGCAATCGTACAAACCACTGCATAAATAATTAGTAACCATTTGAAATACCGTGCTGTGGTAGGAGATGGACCAGCTTAGGAAAACCAAATGAGAAAGTAAGGGGTTCTTCACCAGGAAGGTGACTGGGTGAAGGTGGAAGGCAGGAAGAGAAGGGAAAGTAGCCCTTCCCAACTTGAGAACCTGCAGATGTGAGGGATCACCCTCAACCCCTTCCTCCTAGATTAGAGGTCTTCAAATTTGGCAGCTTTAAGACGTGTGGACTTCAACTCCCAGAATTCTATGCTATGCTGGCTGGAGAATTCTGGGAGTTGAAGTCCACAGGTCTTAAAGCTGCCAAGTTTGAAGACTTCTGTCCTAGATGATAGGGGTCACAAACCAGTCTTCTGGGTTCGATGGGAAGTTTGAGTTGGAAAACGCAAGCAGGACTAAAAGGAAATCTGGAAGCTAACAGGTTGTGTGCAGGAAAGGGAATGCAGAAGACCTTGGAAGACCTGAAGAGGAAATAAGGCCCCCAGAGGGAGAAGGTGAAATTTGAGGGTATGAGAAAGTGTGTCAGCTGAAGGAGGGGGGGGGAGGCGTGAGGAGCATACAGAAAGGGCTACTAGGGGAATAGGAGAGAAGCTGAAAGCTGGATTCTGCCAGGTATAGCTGGCATGAGCACCAGTGCGGGTTTCTTCACCCTATGAAGTTTGAGATCACTTCCACCGGCTTCCAGATCCTGGCAGGAAATGTCAGACTTTCACTCAAGCACTTCTCAGGCTCCTTTCCATTGGGTGTGTGTCCGCGCGCGCGGGGGTGCTTTGTACTACACCAGCATCTAGATGAGGAGGAGGAGGAGGAGGAGGAGGAGAGGGAGAGGGTGGGGGGAAAAAAGCCAACCGCGTGTGTATGTGTCTGTGTCTGTCGTGTGTGTGTGACAGCCAGGACGTGTCAGGGAGGCACATTCCTGCAGCAAGAGCACGTCTTCCCCCCCACACACACCCCCAACCCGGCAGACACAAAGAGGGCGGGGGAGTGCAAGAAACAGCCGCCGCTTTCGGCTTGGAGAGGGAGGGCGAAGGGCTTTGCGCTGGAGGCGGGGTAGGCGCCAACTCACCTGCTTCGAGATTGAAGGAGATCCTGGCCTCGGCTAGGTAAGGCGTGTCACTCTTGGACCGAACTCTCCGGATGGGTCTCCTGTCTATGTCCTCTTCGGAAGAAGCCGCCATTAATGTGGGTACGGTGAGCAGGGTCGCCCGGCGAGCTGGTGTAGAGGAAGCAGCGAGAGGGGTGGGGGTGGAAAAGAGGAGGAGGAGGGCGCACACGCAAAGGAGGAGAAGAGGAAAGAGAGGAGCAGGGACACAGTGAGGGAGAGACACCGGGAGGGAGGGAGGGAAAGGGGGGTGGAAGAAAAAAAAAAGAGAGAGAGAGAGAGATGGGGAGAGAAAAGGAAAACCCGTTAAGGATTTCTGGATTGGAGCTGAGCTGGAAACCCTGCCCTGTCACCTTCTGGCAGCCTTGAGCCAAGCGGGTGAGGCTCCACGTGGGACCCTACCCAATCTAACAAAGCCTGGCCCTTTGCTTGGAAGCTGCAGATAAAACGGCCCCTTGAGAATGGCTCATTCAAGTCCAGAGATTTGCCGATCAAAAATTGAGAAGCTTGGTTGCTTTCTTGTACATTTGGGTAGTAGGGGGAGAAAAGCAGCAAGCAAAAAAAAAGAAAAAAGAAAAAGCCATTCGAGGAAACACGTGAGACCCTTTGACATGGCAATGCATCAGGTGGACCACCCTCTTTCTGTGCAGATTATACACACACACACACAAACACACACACACACTGCACATTACACTGCAGGGGTACAGATTGCACTAAGGTGGAATGCAGGTTCTTGGTTCTGTGTAAGTCTGAAGCCAGTTATTGTAGCTGGCAAATTATGTTTTAAGGTTTAGTGTTTGGTCATTGTGGTGTTTTCAGAAAGTGAAGCCTTGGGGTGATGCATGACCTGAGCAGCACCTCTCTTTAAAAAAAAATAATAATAATAATGCAAGAATGAGGGGTTGGAATTCTAATTCTTGGGAGTTTCCATCAGCAACATCAACAAAATTTTGGGAATTGAGATTCCAAACACACTTTGAGGTCTATAGCTGGGAACGTCGTTTTAGCAGCAATGTCATAAACCACTTATGTGACTTTCAGCTCCCAGGATTCACAGCAATGTCCATTCTGGTGGCAAAGTTCTGGGACTTGAAGTTCATAGGGGATTACAAGAAAAAACTGTTCTCTCTCTATTTTTGCTAAATGATGAATAATTATAAATATGATTAGTTGATACAGCAAAGTAAACCCCTTTGTAGTAAAAAATTCAAGCACTCCCAGAATTTGGACAAACAACAATGGTAAAAAAAAATTAATGGTAATTTTTTTAAAAAATGGTTGAGTTGATTAATAGTTTGTCTATACAACTACACTCAAGGAATCACTTTGTAGCCCTCAGTAACTTTCAGGAATGGACACCATACAAATGAAATAAATACTTTTTATACGACTTTCTTGGGAGGCAGGAAACAACATTAATTGCCTTGTGTGAGAAACTGTTCTAAGAAACTATTTCAGTATCTATATTAATACTGGATAGATGTTTCTAGTGAAATTACAGAATCATAAACTGCACAGGTTAGAAAGGGGCTTGGAGATCCCCTGGAATCCACTCTTAAGCATCCCAACATCTACTCAAAAACCTTCAGCAATGGGAAAGCCATTGCTTCCTGAAGGAGTTTGTTCCATTTTCGAATATCTCTTACTATGAGGCAATGTCTCCTGCTGTAAAGAATCTGGGAGATGATTTTGAGGGAACTAGGCAAGAACTACAATATTACCTAAGGAAAGTGGGCTGAAAGGACCTTTCAGGAAAGGTCCTGAGAAAAGATGATAGTATTCAGAAGAGAAGCAGGCTCTCTTCAAGCTCCCCTGGTTCTCTGAGGTATTTATTTATTTATTTATTTTATTTATTAGATTTCTATACTGCCCTTCTCCCGAAGGACTCAGGGCGGTGTACAGCCATATTAAAACACATATAAATATACAAAATTTAAAACAATTTAAAATTGAATATATAAAAATTTGGCCCATAGATTAAAACATACATACACCCATTCTAAAATTCATATTAGGCCAGGCCGACTTGTTGGAACAAGAGGGTTTTCAAGGCGCGGTGAAAGGTACGCAGATCAGGTATGAGACGAATCTCAAGGGGCAGCTCATTCCAGAGGACTGGTGCCCTCACAGAGAAGGCTCTCTCTCTGGGTGTCGCCAGTCGGCATTGTCTGGCCGACGGCACCCTGAGGAGCCCCTCTCTGTGGGAGCATATTGGCCGGTGGGAGGCTGTTGCTGGCAGCAGGCGGTCTCGTATGTACCCCAGTCCTAAGCCATGGAGCGCTTTAAAGGTGGTGACCAACACCTTGAATCGCACTCGGAAGACCACCGGGAGCCAGTGCAGCTTGCTCAGGAGGGGTGTTACGTGGGTGTGCCGAGTCGCCCCCATAACCACCCGCACGGCCGCATTCTGGACCAGTTGGAGCCTCCGAGCGCTCTTTAAGGGGAGCCCCATGTAGAGACCATTGCAGTAGTCCAGACGGGACGGGGCGAGGGCATGAGCGCAGGGCATCCCGGTCCAGAAAGGGACGCAACTGGTGTATCAGGCGAACCTGATAAAAAGCTCCCCTGGCCATGGCCGTCATATGATCTTCCAAGGACAGCCATGCATCCAGGAGAACACCCAAGTTGCGAACCCTCTCTGAGGGGGACAAGATCTCACCCCCAATAGTCAGCGATGGAGCCAGCTGACTATACCGGGACACCGGAAACCACAGCCACTCGGTCTTGGAAGGGTTGAGTCTGAGCTTGTTCCTCCCGATCCAGATCCACACGGCCTCCAGGCACCGGGACATCACATCAAGAGCATCATTGGGGTGGTCCGGGATGGAGATGTACAGCTGAGTATCATCAGCGTACTGATGGTACTTCACCCCAAAACCACAGATGATCTCACCCAGTGGCTTCACATAAATGTTGAACAGAAGGGGCGAGAGGACCGACCCTTGTGGCACCCCACATATAAGGCACCTCGGGGTGGACCTCTGCCCCCCTGCCAACACAGACTGTGACCGGTCGGAGAGAAAGGAGGAGAACCACCACAACACAGTGCCCCCCACCCCCAACTCTTCCAACCAGTGCAGCATGATACCATGGTCGATGGTATCAAAAGCCGCTGAGAGGTTTAATAGGACCAGGGCAGAGGAACAACCCCTGTCCCGAGCCCTCCAAAGATGATCAATGCGACCAATGCCGTTTCCATGCTGTACCCAGGCCTGAAGCCCGAGTGGAATGGATCCAGATAAACCGTTTCATCCAGGTACTGGGGAAGCTGTCGCGCCACCACACTCTCAACAACCTTCGCCACAAAGCGAAGGTTGGAGACTGGACGATAATTTGCTAACACTGCCGGGTCCAGGGAAGGCTTCTTGAGGAGAGGCCTCACCACCGCCTCTTTCAAGGTGGTGGGAAAGTCACCCTCACTCAATGAAGCATTTATAATCCCGAGAGGCCAGCACCAACCAGGAGGGACACGGGTACAATAAACATGTGGCTGCGCTCAGTCTACCCAAAATCCTGTCTATGTCTTCGGGAGTCACAGGATCAAACTCTTCCCAGATAACATTCTCAAGACCTGCCTCCATCATCCCCCCCTGAATCTACCCAGTCAGAATTCAAGTCTTCCCGAGGTATAAGAGGGAAGGGATGTAAGATGCAACCAGGCTTTTAAGGTTCTGCATTCATTGTATTCGCAATAAAATAAAGTTCTCGACTTTCTTTAAAGTTGGTTTTCTGACTTCATAGGGCTGATACCTGGTGACCAATAAAAATATCTACTTTCTGTCTTTAAAGATTCCCAGTGCTCCTTGTTCTGTCTTCTGGAACAATACTGATCAGTTCTGGCTCACTTTCCTCTTTCAGATTTTTGAAGATTGCTATCATATCTCTCCCTCTTTTCTTTTACCTGATCCAAACATTTATTTATTCATTTCACTTTATATGGCTGCCCATCTCAACTTTATGCACTCTATGTACCAGTCAATGGTGGGATTCAAATAATTTAACAACCGGTTCTTTGCCCTAATGATTTCTTCCAACAACCAGTTCACCAAACTGCTCAGAAAGTTAACAACCGGTTCTCCCGAAGTGGTGCGAACTGGCTGAATCCCACCACTGGTACCAGTGGTGAAATCTGAACCGGTTTACTACCGGTTTGCTGGCTGCACATGCTCAGTGCGCACCACGCACCAAATGCCAAAAGGAGGCATGCAGTAAGTAGAACAGCGCGGGGGGGGGGGGGTGATCAGCTGTGGTGCGCAAAAAAAAGCCTCTGATGATTGCGCGGCTCAGCTGTGATCGTCAGAGGCTTTTTTTTTACCTTTTAAAAGCATTTTTTTACAACCTCTTCGGCCGAAGAAGTTGTAAAAAAAATGCTTTTAAAAGTAAAAAAAAAAAGCCTCTGACGATCGCACGATTCAGCTGGGCATGGGTGGGGGGCAGGGATTTTTGCTACCAGTTCTCCGAACTACCCTCCGCCATCGCTACCGGATCAGGCGATCCAGTCTGAAACAGGAGCATTTCACCCCTTCTATTTACCCAGCCTTCCTCATACATTTTCTCCCTTTTGGCTCTATTATTATTATTATTTAAATTTATGGGCTCCCCATTCCTTTATAATGCAAATTGTTCCTCTTTGGTCCTATTCCAATCTGGATGATTTTTTTTCTCAAATGTGATGCCCAGGATTCGGCACAATAGTGAAAGTGCCTTCAGACCAATGCAGAATAGAGAGGAATAATGAGAAGTACAGTACATATTTTCACATTTCAGATTCTGATATTACTTTTCTGCATGAGCAGTGCCCCAAAGAACATCTTTTTGATTCTTGAAGTAGTACATAAATAAAATTTCAATCTAAGCATGATTTTGGCCTTCAATCATTCTCTAGGCTTGAACATGCAAAAATGCCAGAATGATGGAGGAGACTTTGCATCAAAAGTATTGTCTTACCTTCAGTGGTGCAAAGGAAGATGCACAATGGAACGGATAGCACAATCCATACTAGTCCTTATCTAGGGCCCAAGAAATGATTGTTTGATATGCACTTAATGCAGTTGAGACTAGTACTAGTCCACAACAAATTCTTGATGTCTTCCATGAACAACACTGAT